ATGTGATATTTAAACACAGTGGAGTATTACTCTGCCAAAAGAAGGATCAACTCATCATTTGTAGGAAAATGGATTCACCTTGAGACCATAATGTTAGTGAAATAAATCAGACACACAAGCTTACATATCGCATGGCTTCTCTTATCTGAGAAGCCCAAAGTATAAATAAATTATACAACAAAGTAAAAGATAAGTAGTGGACCAAGGGAACAAGATCATTTTCAAATGGGAGGAGAACCAAGAGATAGAGGGAGAGAGGAAGAAAGGGAAGAGAAAGAGACATAAAAAGAAGTAAGATATATTATGTACATTCACGAACTCCCCACTCGCCAGTAAGCCGTGCACTGCAAACATTCACTGATAAAATTTTCTAAACGTTTGGACTGTGTGCTGAGGCCATAGGATTGCAAGTCTGAGTGCAGCCCGGCACTTTAATGAGACCTTGTCTTGAAATGAAAAAGAAAGAGAGAGAATGGAAGAAGAAAGGAAGAAAGGAAGGGTGGACTAGGAATGCAGCCCAGCGTTAAGCCCCCCTCCTCGATTCCGATTACCAACCGTCCACAAAACTGTGTGTGTGTAACTGTGGACCACGTGTGCACGACTACAAGATCTCACAGTTTGGAAAACTGCACAGTGAGAAATGTCTCCTCCACGCCACCGTCCCTCTCACCACCATCACCTCGGGACCAGCTGATCCCAGCGTCCCATTTCTTCCCACTTCCGGGCTCTCCTTGCGGACAGGTCGCACACTTACAGCCACAAGTGGTAGCACTGGTGCTTGCCCTTTGCTCTGTCCTTCAGCAGTACATCCTGCAGCTCTGTGCACACAGCTCCGAGGTGTATTTACAGGCACTTGATTCAGGCCGGAAGCAGAATCTACACTGTTTCTTCGGTTCCCATCCAGACGTGGGGGCTTCTCCCCACCCCTCTTCTCGGGATTAGTGGGCAGAGAGCCGGGTGACACAGGCAGCAGGTGATTCTGAGAGTTTTCACAGAGTTGGGGCAGTCCGAGCTCGCGCACAGGGACAATGTGGGATGGACAGGGCGTCACGAGTGTGTCCAGGGGCCCGGGGACATGGAGCAGAAGCGGGCATCACACAGCTCTGTTACCAACATGCAACACAAACACAAACAACTCTGTTTTGTTTTTCTCTGAGTGTGATTGTACTGCTGCAAACAACCTTCTATTTTTGCTTTTAAGTTAAATAAACAGGCTTAATTGTGAGCTAGAGAAAGTATCTAAAAACTATTAAGATTTTTTTTCATGGAAAATTACTTTCATAGTCCCAAACAACCAGATAATTTAACTAGAAATTATGCGGAACCTACATCATGGGATTCGGGTGGTGGTGGGGGAATAGTTACTGAAGGGACACCATCGATTCACTAGGACACCTGAGGCAAAATTTCTTAACATCAGTACAATTTGGAAATGTCAGATTGTTCAAAGGTAGATAGAAGAGTCTTGGAATGTGGGCATTTTCTTTTCTTTTTAGTTTCCTTTTATTATTATATGTTTGTGATGCATAGTAATTATCTTCACCTTGGGGAACTGGTACATAAACATATCACATCCTAACAACTTTAATTTCCACCTCTGCCCTCTCATCTCCCCCTATTCCTTCTTGCCATTTTATTTAATTTTCAATTCAAATGATTAATCACAATCAAACAGAAAATCCCTCCTTTGTGCGTCAAGAAGACCATGCCTACTGTTTTCTTCGGTACTGATGGGGAAACAATCCAAGCTCAACTTGTGCGGTCTCCATTTCCCGGAAGCGTTGCTTTAACCTCTACCCGGAGGTCTCAGCACACTTCTTGTAGCCCCAGCGTCCCTCAGATGCTGCCAAGGGAAGTCGGTCTCCCAGGCTTCATTAACACCCTGGAACGGCAGGAACCACTGAAGCTGGCATGGTATTGGCAGCCTGTGAGCTGCTCCAAGTACAAGAGAAAGTTTCACTCTTTGCGACCCCTCCAGGACCACAGGATGAATTCGTTGAAACGACACAACCAAAGTGAAGTGAAGGAAAAGTGTTTTTGTTACTTTTCAAAAAAAAGACTGTGAATAAGAGGGCTTTAAAGGTGTGGCCTGGAAGGCACAAGGGCATCCCTGCCAGCTGCTGTGGCTGCTGAGGGACTCCCGTGTGTGTGTGTGTGTGTGTGTGTGTGGGGAGGGGGCGGCATTTGCTTAGTAACTGCTCCTAGCATAGGGTTCTGCTCCGCTCCTCTCCAGTACAGACATGCTCAGCATCAAAGAATGAGGTCCATGGTTTTCTGTAAAGGCTGGCATTATTCTATTTGCTTACACTTTGCTTACACTTTTTTTTTACTTTAAGAATAAATTTAAAATCTGTAAAGTGGTCTCTTCATTTAGTAAAGATAAACGTTCTTAATGGTTCTATATGAACAGGCACAGCAACAAAGCACAGGTTGTTTTATTTGCCTTATTTAGATGTGAGTGATCTAAAATCTGTTCTCCAGTAAAATGCACCTCGGGAATCTGAAAATTCAGTAAACCAAAAGGACAGAGAAATAGGTACATTTCTCTGTGGCTCTGGCCCCATTCAAATTTTTGAGATTCTCTAGGCTGTCAGTTTTCCCAAAACCCTGGTGAGACAAGACTCTGGAGTCACCACACTGCTGCCATCTGAAAGGAGGTAAGTGTGGCAGGGACAGCTGGCTCAGGCCACTGCCCAGGCTCCGAACCTTCACGGAAGGGACACTTCTGAAATGCACTCTTGCTGTCCCTCAGTTCCCACAAGCCATTTTCAGTTTTAGGATCCTCATCTTCAACCAGTTATCAGAAGGTAGCAACTGTTACCAAGATTAGATTGCAACACAGAAATAAAAGCTTATTTAGGTTTCCTTTCCAGTCATTTAGTAATCAAGTAAGTTCACCATCTCAGGAGCATCTCTACATGAATCTTGCGGGAAATCATTACATACTTAAGTACGACCACGGCTGTCTGAGGCTCAGTGTTCCCTGACCCGGAGCCATGGTGGCAGGCAGAAACATGACCCCATTTTGCCTTGGGTCACAGCTGAGGCCTCAGTGGTTCTGTGAGACCGGTGCTCACCAGCAGGAGTACAGCTGCTGAAGACACCTGGTTCTTTGAGAACCAAGTCTTAAAACAAGAGAAAGGTTCACCCCGGGAGGGACTAAGTCCTTGTCCGTCTGAAGTCATCCCACCCAGCATTACTAGAATGCTCTCCTTCAGGCCTCCTCAGAGAACCTTGTGAGGTGAGATCCTCGTCAGCTCTTTGCTGTCCCGGGGTCTCGGCTGCCCAGGTCGCCGACGCCCCCTCCCTTCACTGTGTGTGCCCAGTAAATGCTGGCCAGCTCAGAGAGTCTTTCTCTGCCCGCTCTGAGGCACTGACCTCCTGGCCCCCCACATACTTCAAAATCACCAAGTTTCTGCTGTCTTTGTTTAGCCCTCGACGCCCCCCTTTCTAGGCAGTCGGAGGATTGATGGCCTCCAGTAGAAATGGAGAAAGAACAATCTCCAGCAACTTTTATTTTAGCGACGGTGCCTCCTCTGCTGATGTTATTAATAACACCTACCTACACGATCCTTTGCAGTTTATAAAGCATTTCGTTTGATTTAATTTTCAAGGCCGTAGAGCAGAAACTCCATTTCTGATATCACTGCGTGCATTTACTGGCATGACCAGGTCGAATGTCTCATCCCCTCCTGCTTTAATGTTCCTTCCCGCCAAGAAGCCACCGCTGTCTCACTCCTGACCAGAGATAATACATGTTGATGATGAACGGACACAATCACATCCTCCTGGGAATCTGCCTCCAAGTAGACGCCACCCTTGGGTCGCCCATATTTCCATTCCCGAGCCCCCCCCTGGAACTTGGCCCCTCGTGTCTGGTGGGAAAGCAGCGAGGGTCGGGGCCGCTCTTCTGCCAGGGAAGTGACCCGCGAACGGCCCTGCTGAGTTCGCGAACGGCCCTGCTGAGTTGAGGCCGTGGGGACGGGGGGCCGGCGTCTGACCTACGGTGTGGGGGCAGCGTGTGCGCGTGTGCGCGGGTGTGTGTGCGTGTGCGCGCGTGCGTGTGTGTCCAAACCCCGAAGGGGGATCGGAAAGCACAGGGAGGATTTAAAGGGTAGAAAGACGATGTCCGAACGATGGACGTATGTTCACAGCGCGGAGGAGGGTTTGTAATTTCGAGGGGATAAATGACGAGGTGTCTTTTAGTGTGGCGGGGTCACGTCCCACAGTCGTCTGGGGACCCTGCCCTGGGCTTTGAGTGGAGACGTCTTTCACACGTGCGGGGCGGGACCTGCCTGGGTGTCAGGCCGGGGTTCAAGTCCTGCCTCCGCCTGCCCTGCGCGATGCCCACCTC